GATAAAATATGTAAACTATCCAGTTCATATGACGTACTCAATAAATACTGGTTCTACTTAAAGATAGTATCGTGCCACATTTTTCTCAGTGAGCCTGCAATGATTTTAAAATCAGGGAAAAAATAGTTTAGTAAAGAAATGGAAGGAATGATACTCCTTCTCAGGACTGTGAATTTTCTGAGTGTATTTCTTTTAAAAATCTAAATTTATTCCCAATTATCTCACTGATTTTCCCATAAAATAGAATGAAATACACACAAAGAATTGAGAAGCACTTCTTTGTTCCCTAAGTGGCAAAGCTGGCATGTAATATTAAGCCTTCTGACCCTACATCCAGTCTCTTTGTTCCCCAAGTCGAATTCCAAAACTCCAGGAAGAAAAGCTTCTTACCACCTGGGTTTCTGAACACGATAGCTGCAGTTGAGTTGGGGTCCTGGGGGGTCGCCTCTAGATCCATGTCATCACTGTCAGACTCCTGAGTCACAGCCTCTTCTGCTCCCTCCTCATGCTGCCAGCCCCTCCGCCCTGGCTCCTCAGTCTTAGCATCATTGCTCACCAGGCAAGAGTGAGAGGCTGCTTCTTCCAGGCTATTACTGGGCAGGGCAATGACCTGTGCACTCATCAGGGCTTTCATTTCTTCAAAGAAGGGGCAGGTCTCAGGTGGGTGGCCGCTCTTGACTTTCCGATAGCTCTTCTGGAGACCTTTGAACTTGGTCCGACACTGTTCCAGGGTCCGGAGGAAGCCATATTCCCTGAGCCGCTCAGCCACAGCCCCATACACTTGGCTGTTCTTATGACAGCTTTTGAGAGCCTCATAAAACTCAGTCTGGCTGAGAATTGCGAGGAGCGTTCTGGTCTCTTCATAGCCCCAGTGCACACCTGCCACCTTCTCATCTTCAAAGCTCCAGTGATCCTGTTCCACCCAGCTTCTTCTATCTTTCTTGGATGGTAACAGATCAGCATGCACTCGTCTGTCTCCTGTGTGGCTGCCACTTGGAAGTTCTTTCTCCTTGGAGCCCAGCAGATCTGGGATCCATGGCTCTCCTTGCTCCAACCTGGAGACCACACCGGACTGAGGAAATGGAAATCCTGCTTGCAGGGAAGCAAACAAAAGGTGTCATAGTTTGGACTGATTATCACAAAAATCTTGAAATTCAGTCCTGCCTTTTTCATCCAAGAGGATTATAAACAAAGTCTCTAGGGCAATGTTTTCAGAAAGTTCAGTGGGTTGAAAAAAGTGGGGAAAATACAGGAAACCTCAAAAGATGAGAAATGTTTTATTTTCCAGAGCAGGATGACAAGAGAGGAAAGGATTCTGTTGTGTGTTCAGAGCAGATAATTCTATTCCAAGTTGCTCCTTAGCTTCCTATTTGTAGGCAGGTCCTAGTACTGCTGGGAATAATTGTTCTTCACTTGGGGCTACAGAATTAAACTCGGAGTGACTTCAAGGGGGAGGCAAGAGAAGACTGTCTTTAACTTATCTGTTTCCTTCACAGTCAGTCACCAAGTTCTAAAGGTGGTTACCTTCCTCTCTATTCCTACTGCCACCATCCAAGTCCAGACTACTTATCCTCTCACACCCAGATAATTGCAGCAGTCACTGTTCTACCTAACTGCAGGCTCTTGCTTTCTCAGTGCACATGCTACCCTGGTGAACCTTAACCTTAATGCCTACCATACCCATTCCTGTCAGACTCTTCCCTCCAGAACACAGCACACTATTATTCACCACTCTGTGCCTTTAATTCCCTCCTATCCAATTTCAGCCCATCCTTCAAGAGGCTGTATTTCCCAGTGCCCTCAAGAAGGCTTACCTACAGCTCTCCCTCATCTTCCACTCTGCCAAACCCATACGGTACTCACACAATTGAGCAAGTCATTGTCTGGCACTGTTTCAGTACAGTTCAGTTCGGCCCCTACTTAAAGAGTTAGCTGTTGTGTTCTCAATCATGTTTTTAAGTTGAGGATAGGCACATTTTCTTATTGCAGAGTACCCTGCAAGGTGTTGAGCACCTTGATAGGTGTTCAAAAACTGATGAACTCTGCAAGTCTGTGTGTAAGATTCAGGGATTTCATCTGGGTGACTAAACAAACCACTACCAAACTGGCTGAGAAGGCTGTTGTCTTGGATAAGATCAGAATTCAAAACAACCTCAACAAATTTTAAGTGAAATGGTAACAGAAAAAAGCATAGAACATGGAGATCAATAGACTACAAAGAAGAAAAACAAGTTCTACAAAAATCAAGTACAAGAATAATCAACTAGGTATAAAGGCATTGGGGAAAGTTATCAGAGTCCTGGAAGTTACCCGGTGAACAAAAAAAATATCACAGGTTGGGCTATACTGATACAAGACATTGCAGATTCTGAAGTAAAATTCTTACTTAGCTTCTAACAGACTTTCAGGAAAATGATACACATAATTTAGTTCCCCACAATTAACATGATATTTGGAGAACTTAAAGGTTCCAATAGAGAGCAACAAAAACTTAGGTTTAAAGAATGGATCTTCTGGGGGGAAAGTTTAAGGTAACAAATATAGTTTAATTTGAAGATGGAGAACAACCAAAAGGAAGATGTGCCTTCAAGTAAATAATTTTTATCTAGAAAATAATGACCTACTGTCATCATTACCAAGAGGAAATAAAATAATTCCAAGTTCTTTCTGATAAAAACTAGGGAGCCATTCTCTTGTGGACTTATCAGGAGGTGATATAAGAATACCACAGGGCTAAACTACATGTCAACAACCACATATTCTGCAATTTCCACTTACTCCTGAAATCCCTTACCCACTCACTATCCCCAACCCTACTTCCCAACTTGGAATGGCAGTCTATCTTCCCATGTGAATCTACTCCTCACCGCTCCTTTGAAAAGGTTTGAGCTTCTCCTTTGGGTTCATCTGCTCCTGTGGTCCCAGGTCTGGGCTTCTTGCCCTCTCTTTCTTGGGTACACCCCTGGGCTGGGGTTCCACTGACTCCTGCCGAACACTTAATAACTCTTGTGATGATTTCGGGGGTGTCATCTTCTCCAAGCGCACTTCCTGCCCCTTCACAGAGACTGTGACCTAGAAACAACCCCCATTAATTGTCACTGCAAGATCATAATGAGGGGCATTCCCAGAGGAGATTATTTAATACCCGTGGCCAGGGTTGTAGGGGTGGGGGAGGTTAAAGCGAACAAGGATCTTATTCCATTGCCATTAGCTTAAAGCAGCTGAAACTCCAGAAGGAAATGATCAAAAGCGTAAACCCACCTACAGGCTGAAAAAAACAAAACAAAACAAAATCCCCTTTCTTCTCTATTAAGAAACTATGAAACTAGGAAAAACTCATTATGACAGGGTAGGTGAAGGTACACCCAGGCAGCATCTCCAGACAAGCACTATCTGAAAAAGTTACCTATACCAGACCAGAAGTATAAGCATCACCAAGGGAGACTGTGTCCCTCTTAAAGCCTGTCTATACCTTAATTTAGCCCTCCACCCTTGCCCCTTCCCAGTATCACACTTTTGAATTCCCCCTCCCTTCTCACCAAAGATCCAGGTCTTCCAGGCTCTCTTTCTAAATCTTCCACGAGAGTCACTGCCTCCTCTCCATTTTCTGGACATTGTTCCTGTACCCAATTCTGGATCTCCCCAGGTAAGACGGTCAGGAACTGCTCTAGCACCAACAGTTCTACAATCTGCTCCTTGGTGCGCACCTCTGGCCTTAGCCACCGACAGCAAAGTTCCCAGAGTTGGCTGAAAGCCTCCCGCGGCCCAGCCACCTCCTGGTAATGGAATCTCCTGAAACGCTGTCGGAAGCTCTCAGAGTTAGTGCCATTCTCGCTCAGAGCGGATTTGGCCATCATTAACAGCAGAAAGCAGCTTCCCTCCACTTAAGAGTCTGGGTTCCAGGGCTTACATCTATCTTCCCATGTCCTTGGAGAGTCCCCTGCAGATGACTCTCTGTAAGAGGAGTTTCTTCCTAGGGCAGAGAAAGATGGCACTATCAGCAGAAGGAATACATTCATATGTCTAAAGTCTTGCCAGAGCTAGCCTGCCTTCCCATGTGCTCCGAGTGGCCTTCTGAGGTAGCACAATCTTCAGTAAATAGACTTTGCAAAAGCTGCTTTTCTGGTTGACTTTCAGGGCAGCCCCAGGAAGCAGCAGAGAATAAAACTACTTACTGTCTGCCCCCTCCCACCTCCTCCAAATCCAATCCCATTTAATTTCCCTGCCCAATGTTGCACGGTGAGTCCGAACCATATAGGAGAGCTGGTGCTCGAGAGGATCTAAAGACAATTCGCCATCCTGCTCGAAGGCAACAAAAAGCTTCTGTCCAGCTGGTCGCAGCTCATCTCCCCCAGTACCTCCGCAGTCCTTCCGGAGGCCTTCAGTGTCCGCCCCGCCCCCTCGGGCTGCACAACTCCCAAAGCCCACTCCAGGCAAAAAAATCACGTCCAGAATCTCGGGTCTTTGTTTTCCCCGCGTAAAAGTAGAAGTTGCTCAGCAAGGATTAAGGAGCTACCTGTCGGAAAACCTCGCGCAAGGAGAGAAGCTGGTTTTGGCTCCAAAGCGCGGACCGAGTGCGCTTGGGGAGAGTCACACTGCGTTGGAGAGAGTCCGAGGGGCAGTAGTAACGGGCTTCCTGAGGACGAGCTCGGGAGTCGGCCAGAGGCTCCAGGTGCTGCCGGTTCGCGGACGCCGAGCTCTCAGCTCAAGGAGCGGCGGCTGCGGGATTCTGGCCTCTTTTGTCTCCGCTCCCTCTGGCCGGGTCACCCAGAGCCGTCGTGCGGTCCCTCCAGAGGCCTCTGACCCGGCTAAGGCGCCCTGAGGGCGCCCTCCAGCCCACCCCTGGGAGTGTCTCCCTCTCGAGCTGCCCCTCAGCCCCCTCGCATCCTTGCCTCTGGGCCACTCTCACCCACTCGAGGTCCAACCCCGATCCCGGCCCGGGCTCTCCAGCCTCCCAAGTACAGCTCCCAAACCGGAAGTCCGAGCGGGCGGCTCGGGGCACCGAGGGCGCATGCGCGAGGGCTGCGCCCGCGACTCAGTCTCCGCGGAGCCTGGGCGGGAGTAGCCGGTGGGCCCAGTGGAGCCGCAGAACTTCCGGAACTCAGCCGCGACCCCTTCCCAGCTTCCCGTCCGGTCCGCCGCAGCGATTGTCTCGGTGGGTTGATTCGGCACAAACCGCCCGACCCAGGGGCTGGTGCGCGTGTGGAAGGGGAAGCACTCCCCTCGTGGTCGCCTGGAGGTGCGCTGGAGGAGGGGGTGAAGTATCCAGGGACTCGAGGTCCGCTGTGGGAATGATCCACGAACTGCTCTTGGCTCTGAGCGGGTACCCTGGGTCTATTTTCACCTGGAACAAGCGGAGTGGCCTGCAGGTACTGTGCGGCGCAGAGCGCGGGAACCAGGGAGTGCAGGAGCGGCGGACCTGAGTCAGCACCTGGGGGACTAGGCTGAGGGACCTAGCGGGCGGGGCTTCCAGGGCTGGGGACACGTCCCTGGACAGGTGACTGGAGGGCAGCCCCTTAGGGTCAAGGCTGATGTGACACCTAGAGAGGCTGGGCCTACGCTAGAAAACGGAGGGCAGACCTCGAAGAGCCCCGCCTGTGGCGGGGCGAGGAAAGGGCCTGAGGTCCAGGTGTCAGTTGCTGGGGAATGATTTAGAAGTGTGGGAGGTACTTTCTCCTGTTTATTTTCACACGTGCATTGTTTGAGTTTTCAAGGACTGGGCCAAATACACAGCTCCCAAACACTTGGTAAGCGCTCGGTAAAGTTTGTTGAATGAAAAAATGAAATCGAGAGCCTGCGGTGTTTCCCTCATTACTCCTTTACCAGGAAATTTCTGCACTAGGTAAAGCACTTAGTAGGGGGCCTTTGTGTAACCAGGAATGTATGATGTTCCGTATGCATTATCTTATTTAATCCTCACAGCCATCTGTATCCATTTTACAGATTAACCTAGGTTTAGAATGTTAAATAACTAGCGGGGTCACATAGCTAGTAATTAACAGAGCTTAGTTTTGAACCCCGGTGTGTCTGGCTTCAGTATTTGAAGTACTCTTACCTGCTTCTGCTTCCAGTAATGTTATCTAATTTCTCAATAATTTAGTCATTTAGGTATTGTTTCTACCGGTTACCAAATGAGCAAACTGAAGCTCAGAGAACTTTATGCTGGCCAGTCCTGGTAGTGGCAAGATTGAAATCTAGGTCCGTCTGATCACCAAGACACGCCTATTCTTAGAAGAATTGGCAAATAGACTGTGGAAGAGCAGAAAAGGTACATTCTTAGTCTATAAAACCTATCAATCAAACAGATTCATTTCGTTATTATTTATGAATGTGTATTTGGAGTTTGAGAGTTTAGGTGAATTTTTGAAAAAAATAGGTGAAGATTTGTGTGGTGGAGTTTCAATTATCTTTCACCTGTAGGTCTTTGAAGACTAATTCAATATTTCACTTTTCTCCATAGAGCTTAGTACAATGTCAGGCATATAGGAGGACAGTATTCAGGAAGTATGTGGGTGCCTGATGGTTCAAAATGAAAAGAGATAACACAGTACAGGAAAGATAGCTAGGGAGGGGGTGGGGGAGACAGCAACAAGTAGTTCATCTTTTCCCTTCCTTTGTTTCTTATGAAAAATTCTCGATCAGGTATTTTCTACCTTTTCATCCTTAAGGTCTCAGCTTTAAAGTCACTTTATCAGAAAAACTTTCTCTGAGCACATCTTTAAGCATCCCCCGATGCCATTATTCTCCATCAACTTGTTTATTTCTCTAATAGGATTTGTCACAATTCATAATGTATCGTTGTTACCTGTTTTTAGCCTTTCTCCCACATAGATTGCCCCTGGGAGCGAAGACCACAGTGGTCTTCTTCATTCGTCTACCTGGAGCACCTAGCACAGTTTTTGCCACATAGCAGGTGTTTAGGTATTGATGGAAGAAAAGAAGACAAAGACAGCAAGAATTACATACTTTCTGCAGAGCAGTGTCTTTTACACTTGAATGAAGGGAAAAGTCATGAGTGCCAAGTGTTGATGAAAATTATTTTATTATATTGAATATGTATATACGTAAGCTAGTTATAAACTCAAGCATAATGCTCTTAAACAACTATAAAATCAAATATTTTTATAAATTAAAAGTAAACAAAATGACTAAATCAATAAATTCAAATGACCATTATTTTAATACAGGATTTCTCAGCCTGTTCATATAACTATGTTGTATAGAATGGTATCAGTAACTTCAAGATGTTGTGCGCTGTTTCAGAATAATTAGATATTGAACTTTTCGAAAACTCTGCCGAAAAGAAACACTCAAATGCCAATTTTAATAGTAGTATCACTTGATAACTGGTAGAGCTGTCTTGTTAATAATATAAAATTGCTTATGTGTGTTGAGCACTGTCTGTGTGCTTGGGACATGTGCTTTACACATGTATTAACTTATTTAATCCTCACAGTTATTTTTTTTTTTTTTTTTTTTGAGACGGAGTCTCGCTCTGTCGCCCCCAGTGGCGCGATCTCAGCCTCACTGCAAGCTCATCTTCCCAGGTTCACGCCAGTGTCGTCCGCCTCAGCTCCGGAGACTAGCTGGGATACAGGCGACCGCCACCACGCCTGGCTATTGTTGCTTTTGTTTTGTATTTTTAGTCAGAGACTGGTTGTGGTTTCACCGTGTGTAGCCCAGGGCAGCGATTCGTCACTCGCGGCGGGATCGAGCCCGCCGCTCGCCTCCCAAAGTGCGTGGAGTTACGCAGGCTGTGCACCGAACGCGGGCCGCCAGGTTTAACTCCGTCACGAGTTTTTCTCTCGCAGTTGATGGGTATGAAATGAGGGGCTGGGTACCCGAAGGATTATAGTAACTTGCCTAAGCGTTCGTCGAGCAAGGTACAAGCCAACTCGAGGGATTCAAACGCGCCCAGTCAGCGCTCCAGAGAGCCGCAGGTCTTAAGCACCGGGTGTGCAACGTGGCGCAACCTGTCGTTAAATGTACTGACTTGAAGAGCCGTGATTAGTATGCAATTGTGTCAGGTAAGAAGGTCGTACACGGTAATTGGATTCATAATCAATTTTCTCTTTTTTTTTTTTTTTTTGAAGACGGGAGTCGCTCGCTCTGGCCGCCCGGCGTGAGTGCAGCGTGGCGGAGTCTCGCAGCTCACTGCAAGCTCCGCCCGCCTCCCGGCGGTTCCCGCCAGTGGTTCCTGCCCTCAAGCCTCGTCCCGCAGTAGCTGGCACTACAGGCGCCGCGCCACTATCGCCCGGCAGGTTTTGGTTAGTGTTGTCAATAGAGAGCGGGTTTCACCGTGTAGCCAGGATGGTCTCGATCTCCTGACCTCGTGATCCACCCGTCTCGGCCTCCCAAAGTGCTGGGATTGCAGGCTTGAGCCACCGCGCCCGGCCTCCTAATCAATTTTCTATGGACTCGGTAACAGAAAAATTTTTCTTTGCTTATTTGTTACCACATTTACTGTCATGTAAAAATGGCATCCACGTATAATCCATATTATATATCCATTCATTTGTAATATGCTAAGTTCCTTTGGAGCAGTAATTGCATCTGATTTTGTTCACTCTTTTGTCTAAAAGTATTAGCACAGTACCTGGGATATAGTAATGGAAATGTAAAATGTTACAGCCATTGTGGAACATGGTATGGCAGTTCTTCAAAAAATTAAATAAAGGCCAGGCACAGCGGCTCACACTTGTGATCTCAGCACTTTGGGAGGGTGAGGCTAGAGGATCAGTTAATGCCAGGAGTTTGAGGCTAGCCTGCGCAGCAGAGCAAGACTACATCTCTACAAAAAAAATTTTTTTAATTAGCCGGGCATGGTGACACATGCCTGCAGTCCTAGCTATTCTGGAGGCTGAGGCGGGAGAATTGGTTGAACCTAGGGGTTTGAGGTTACAGTGAACTATGAACCCACCACTGTATTCCAGTCTGCGTGACAGAATGAAACTGTCTCTAAAAAAAAAAAAAAAATTAAATATAAAATTCCCATATAATCTAGCAGTTCCACTTCAGGGTATATCCCAAAACAAGTAAAAGCAGGGACCCAACAGACACTTGTACACCCATGTTCACTGAGCATTATTCACAATAGCTGAAAGGTGGAAGCAAGTGTCAGTGCAGGGACGAATAGGTAACTGAGATGCGGTATATACATACAAGGGAATATTGTTCAGCCTTAAAAAGGAAGGAAATTCTGGCACATGCTACAACATGGATGAACTGAAATAAGCCAGTCTCAAAAGGAGAAATAATGATTCCACTTTTTTTGAGACAGAGTCTTGCTTTGTTGCCCAGGCTGGAGTGCAGTGGTGCAATCTCGGCTCACTGCAATCTCTGCCTCCTGGGTTTAAGCAATTCTCGTGCCTCAGCCTCCCAAGTAGCTGGCATTACAGGCGCCCACCACTATGCCTGGCTAATTTTCGTATTTTTAGTAGAGGTGGGGTTTCATCATCTTGAACTCCTGACCTCAGGTGATCCACCCGCCTTGGCCTCCCAAAATGCTGGGATTACAGGCGTGAGCAACTGCTCCCGGCCTGAATGATTCCACTTGGATGAGGTAACTAGAGTAGTCAAAGTCACAGGCAGCAGAGTGGTGTTTGGCAGGGGCTGGATACGGAGTTTCATTTGGGGCAAACAGAAAAGTTCTGGAGATGGATGGTGGTGATGGTTGTACAACAGTGTGAATGTTCTTCATACCACTGAACTATATACTTAAAATAACTAAAATGGTAGATTTTGTTATATGCATTTTACCACAGTGTTTTTAAAAAGTTGGTTGAAGGAATATATTTTCCTACTACTTTTTTCTACCTGAACTGCTGTGAAACCTTTATATATATAGCATATTAGGCTATCATTTGGGTTTCATTTAAATTAAAAATACAAATGCAAATATGGACACTAAATTTATATGGCCAGTTATAAGGTACATTTACAGATAATAGTATGTTTAATTTTAGATTTTTACTGGAATGAAAACTTTAATAGAGAATTTGTAAATCCTAAGAATATGTCTGAGAAACCCATAGAGTCTGCAGACCCCCGTTTGAGCAATATTGCTGAGACTTGGTGGCAACCAGGTCAAAACCCCCATATCCTTATAGACCATCCCTAGAAGATTGCTTAAGAAGTAGGCAATAGCGGCTGCTTCTGGGGTGGTTGACTTATTTTTAATGTACACTATTTTGTATTGTTTAAATTATTTAGCGTGTGTTACCTAATTTAAGAAGCAAATAATTGGGTCAGAGATAGGGAACCCCTTTGAAGTGGTTTGGAAATACATTGTTATCCAGAACTTAACACCTTTCAGTGGACATCTTGAGAAAGAAACGGTAAGTGTGTAGTATGAAGATTTGAAGTGCCTGAGAGTTGAGGCAGTGACTGGCAGTGTTTTCGGCAGTGTTCCTCTTCCCACAGGTATCGCAGGACTTCCCTTTCCTCCACCCCAGTGAGACCAGTGTCCTGAATCGACTCTGCCGGCTCGGCACAGACTATATTCGCTTCACTGAGTTCATTGAGCAGTACACGGGCCATGTGCAACAACAGGTGGGTCCTGTTCTCGGTGGGTGTACACCTCTAGAGGGCAGGAGCTGTGTCAAGCTTTCAGTGAATTTATCGGTAATTCATGTGAAATAAGTAATGGATTTCTCATCACTGGAAATATTCAAGTGAAAGCAAGGCCTCTAATTGGTTTGTTTATAGAACTCTGAAAAGGAACAAGCCAGATAATGTCTTTCTCAAGTTTCAGGGCCTGAGCTGAGAAGTTGGCTTCTGTTTGTTTGATTTCAGGATCACCATCCATCTCAGCAGGGCCAAGGTGGGTTACATGGAATCTACCTGAGGGCCTTCTGCACAGGGCTGGATTCTGTTTTGCAGCCTTATCGCCAAGCACTGCTTGATTTGGAACAAGAGGTAAGAAGGAGGAGATATAGGAAACACCTCTGGGATAGTGGATTAGGGCATGTTCTTGAATCTGAAATGCCCTTTGATAAGGTCAGGTAGTTAAGAGTGAGCAATTTCCTGCATGGCTGGAAGGGACAGTGTTCTCTCAGTGATTGCCCAGCCTGTGATCAGAGTGGCTTACAGATCATGGCACAGACTCTTTGGTGAGTTTTAAGAGCCCTGGCTTAGTTTCTTTATGGCCTGAAAATCAGGATTAATAACCTGATTAAATTATCGGTTCTCAATAGCCTAAAATTAACACTAAGCCCATCATGAGATTCTCTTCTCATTTTTGTAGATCAAATAGATTTGAGTTATTTTGTGTGGAGCCCTAATCACAGCGTGTTTTGTTGCAGTTCCTGGGTGATCCCCATCTCTCCATATCACATGTCAACTACTCCCTAGACCAGGTATGCTGACCAAATAACCAAATGCCTTGCAATCTGTTGATAGTGTTAGAATAATCTAATTTATGATACTATTTTTGAGAACTTTTTTCTTCCGGATTCAGCGCCTAACATTTTATATTTTGTGCATTTTGTATGCTTTACTAGATCAAAACTGTTTAAAGATTTCCAAATATGGTTAAAACTTAATGTCTGATATTAATGCTAATATTACTGCTCTATATTGACATCAGTATTAACAAGTATGCCAGCCTCAGAAATAGAAACTGCTTCCCTACTGGGCTTGGTGATACATGCCTGTAATCCCAGCACTTTGGGAGGCTGAGGCGGTTGGATCACTTGAGGTCAGGAGCTGGAGACCAGCCTGGCCAAAATGGTGAAACCCCATCTCTACTAAACATACAAAAATTAGTCGGTTGTGGTGGTGTGCACCTGTAGTCCCAGCTAGTCGGGAGGCTGACGCATGAGGATCTCCTGAATCCAGGGGCGGAGGTTGCAGTGAGCTGGGATCCCACCACTAAACTCCAGCCTGGGTGACAGAGTGAGACCCTGTCTCAAAAAAAAAAAAAAAGAAAGAAAGAAACTGCTTCTCTCTGCCGTCCTCTTCCTATCTGCAGTGAACCTCCACATCCAGTTGCCTTAGGATACTGAATCTTGACTGTTCTTTGGTATTGCCATTTTATCTTAAGTTGAACTGTTTAGAAACAAAAGCATTTCCTGAGTTGATTTTTTTTCCCTTACATTTGATTACATACCCTTCTAATTATTCTCTACTTTGCAGTTTCAGCTTCTTTTTCCCTCTGTGATGGTTGTAGTGGAACAAATTAAAAGTCAAAAGGTGAGAACTTTCCTTATTCCTTTTGCTTTGCTAAGCACTGAGGAAATATTACTAATTAATCTTGCTGTACATTCTTTTTCGAAGACCCTAGTTTTTAGTAGTTTTTATTTATTCATTCATTCATTCAATATCTACCTGGTTATCATGTTAAGTGTCAGGAATGCAAAAATATGACTCTGTCTTTAAACACCTCCTGGTCCAGAAGATAGAGGAAATGTTAGTAGATGTGCCCGAGAATGTTGTTGGGGTAAGAAAAAAAATGCTGTGGATGTTTGCAGGTGAGAGGAACCTGCAGTAAGAGTTTAGAACTGTTGGGTGTGAAGCAGAAAGTTAATTCTTAGGAAGAAGGTAATAGGTTTACGGTTAGTGTGCTGGCAGCTTTCTGAGAATTTTGAGATCAGTGAGTGAAGGCCAGATGTTTATTAAATAAGCCTATTCTTATCACAAGTTTTTATCAGGTGTATTGAGAAGTCAGGAGACTGCCTTTCTGGGCAGTTAATAATTCTGAGGAATAAATGCTTTGAGATTTCATATTAGAAGAATCTGCTGTCCTATTGAATTGGTCCACAACTGAATCAAGTGGACAAATGGATTAAACATCTTTAGTTCAAGTCTTCATTTTTTTAAGATTTTTATTTGTGCCTTAGCTTATTAGGCGTGTTCATTTTCATTAATATAACTAGTAAACCAATTAATCTGCCACATTGCTGCTTCATTTTTAAGTGTGTAAGTGTAGAAACAAGTGCTCTGCTACATTCATGCTGTGCCAGCAAAGCCAGTAGTGGGTGCTCATTGGCCCTTCAAAACTAATTGCCCTCATCAAATAACAACATCCAGCTTTTACTGTCACTTGTTGTGTACTAGACACTGTGCTAAGTGCTTTAAATACGATATCACACACAATCCACTAAAGGGCTAAGTAGGTTAAGGGATGTGCCCAGCGTCACACAGATAGTAGTAAATGGGTTTATATCCCAGCTCTATCTAGCTCCAAAGAGTGTGCTCTTAACCACTAGATTAAACTATCTCCCAGAATAAAAGGGGACCTTCTAGGCAAGTAGAGCTAAAGAGGACAGCATAAGGAAGCCAGGCCTAGCTGCACGTCTTGGTTGGCCTTCAGCTTCTGCTGGCTATGGGAAGGAGAGTAGAAAAGAGGGGGATTGCAGATGGGTGAATCTTCCTTCCTGCCAGGATGGTGGTAGAGAAACTAGTGTACCAAGGCTCTTCAGAGTTTTTACAAATCAGGCGGTCAAGATTCTAGGCTGGGGGCGAGAATGGAGATTGATTGCAAACAGGCACAAAGGGGCTTTTTGGAGCAATGGAAATGTTATAAACTGGATTGTGGTAATGGTTGCCCAGTGTTTGAAATTTATTAAAAATTGTTGATCAGTATGCTTAAAACGAGTGAATTTCATGGTAAATTATACCTCAAAGTGGTAAAATTAAAAGTCTGAAGAACATAGAGGCAGAGGATTTTTGAAAAAGTATATACTTTAGAAGTAGACTGAATTGGACCTTAACTTGAAATAAAGAGCTTTCCTTGGCTTTGGTGTTCCAACTCTAAATGATTCTGGTTGCTTTAAGTGCAGTGGTTCTCATACTTTACTGTGCATTAGAATCACCTGGAGGGCTTGTGGAACCACTGAGTGCTGGGTTTTAACCAAGAGTTTGCGTGTCTAATGAGCCCCCAGGTGATGCCGCTGATGGGAGAGTGGTCCCTCTTTGAGAACCACTATATGTAAATCTTAGGAGAAAGTTTATCCCCAATCTCTCCTAGATTATGCCCTCTTGGTTGAATATGGAATAAGAATTTGTCTTGCATGGACTGTTAGAATGGAATCCAGTTTGACAAGGCCATATTTTCCAGATTCATGGTTGTCAAATCCTGGAAACAGTCTACAAACACAGCTGTGGGGGGTTGCCTCCTGTTCGAAGTGCACTGGAAAAGTAAGTCATGGCTTAACTGGGAGTCGGTGGTGGAGGTGGGTGGTCAAATTATTTGAGTTCTCACATGTTTTATTTTCAGGTCATTTCAGGTTTCCCTCTTGGGAAGGTTATGACCAGGATAGAAAAAGCTCCATGAGCAGAAGAGCCCATGTAGCCTTTATTATGGCTCAGGCATTGCAAAGGGCTATAGAGTGTTGAGTGTCAAAACCAGGATTTAGCTGCCTGGATGACCTTGAGGCAATGTTTTTAAATGTTTAGATCTTGTTATCCTTGCAGGAATTCCATTACATGTGCCAGATGTTGCTTGCTATGTCTAAACATGTGTATTTGAGTAGCTGGTATTTTCAAATTGAAGGTCCTTAAAAATGTTTATGCTTTATAATCCCATGATGCCACTCTTAGGAATTTTATCCTAACAAAATTATTTAATAGAAGAAAATAACTATATACAAAAACATGTTCATTGCAATGTTGTGTACTATATCAGGAAATTAGAAAATTACAGTAGAAGAAAATTCAAATAATGATATGTTCACTTGATAGACTATAAAGCCACTAAAAGTATAGGTACTATCACATGCAAAATATTTTGTATAAATATATATTGACAAATGATACAAAATTGTATTTATCTTGTGATTACAACTGCATAAAAATATGTGTAGAGTGTGATCAAAGACTGCCTGTTTGATCTTTCCATTTCTCCATTTTCCTTGTTTTAAAAAAATTGTGACATTCATTGAAAAATTGTAATAGATGGTTTCCTGAGGCCACTCACAGCTCTCTTTGTTTTTTCCTTTTTTCTTATTTTATTTTAATTTTTTATACAGATGAGGTTTTGCTGTGTTGCCCAGGCTGGTCTTGAACTCCTGGGCTCAACCGATCCTCCCATGTTGGCTCCCCAAAGTGTTGGGATTACAGGTGTGAGCCACCGCACCTGGCCAGGCCACTCACAGCTCTTAATCTCCGCTCTTACCACTGCATGAGTAAACCCTCATTACAGCGGGAAACTTTCCAGAACATGCCTTAGGGACTTAATTATTCTCTATTATACTTTTGTGTATGGAATATGAAATCTTATGTAGATGATATTGTATATACATGTTTGTTCTGTGTAGGGACCAAACTTTACAGACCACATACTCAGAAATGCATAAATGTAAATAGCTTCACATGTGATGTTTTTAAAGCGAGATTCCATTCAGTTAGCATACTACAAATAACATGCTCAAGCTCTTGTAATTTCTTTTTCTCCCAACCTTTTATTTTAAAAAATGTTAAACCTACAAAAAAGTTGAAAGAAACGTATAACAAAACACTTGTAGGCCGGGCTCGGTGGCTCATACTTACAATCCCGGCACTTTGGAAGGCTGAGGCAGAGGGATCACTTGAGCCCAGGAGTTTGAGACCAGCCTGGGCAACATAGCGAGACCCTGTCTGTACTAAAAATGAAAAAATTAGCCAGGTGTGGTGCCTGCCTGTAGTCCCAGCTATGGGAAGCTGAGGCAGAAGGATTGCTTTAGCCCAGCACTGTAATCCAGCCTGGATGATAGAACGAGACCCTGTCTCAAAACAAAAAACAAACCCAAACAAACGCTAGTATATCGTTTAGTTTCACCATTTGTTAACATTTCCCACATTTGATTTCTCTTTTTCTCCTTCTATACATATATGTGAAATACACAAACTTTTTTTGCAGAATCATTTGAAAGTAGTCACAGATATCCCAACACTTAACCCCTAAATACTTCATCTTATATCACTTTAGAAAAAAGGCATTCTTGGCTGGGCATGGTGGCACACACCTGTGTTCCTAGCACTTTGAGAGGCCAAGTTGGGTGGATAGCTTGAGCCTAGGAGACCAGCTCAGGCAACATAGTGAGACCCCATCTCTACAAATACAAAAAAAAAAAAAAATAAGCATGGTGTATGCCCCTGTGGGCCCAGCTACTTAGGAGGCTGAGGTGGGAGGATGGCTTGAGTCTAGGAGGTCGAAACTGCAGTGAGCCATGATCATGCTACTGCACTCCAGCCTGGGCAACAGAGTAAGACCCTGTCTCAAAAAAAAAAGAAAAAGAAAGAAAATAAAAAGGGATTTTCTTATAGAACGTCAATTCCATATTACACCCAAGAAAGCTAACATTAATTCAATAATACTATATCCAAATTTTTCTAGTTGTCCCCCAGAATTCCTTCATAGCTATTCTTCTTTTTTTTTTTTTTTTTGCTGTCCAGGATCCAATCAGTGTTCACATACTACATTTTGTTCTCATGTCTTTTTAGTCTCTTTTAATTTAGAACCATCCCCCTTGCCTTTTGTTGTTCTTGGTGTTGTGGATGACGTCAACATTTTAAGAGTCCTGACCAGCTGTCCTGTATAATGTTCCACAATCTGGATTTATTGTTTCCCTATGATTAGATCTGGATTAAACTTTTTTGGCAAGAATACTATGTAGGTGGTATTATTTCCCATTACATCATATTAGAAGGCACAGAAAGTAAGTTTACCCCATGACTGGTGTTGTGCCGTTGGATCGCTTGGCTTAGGTGTTTTCATCACGTACTGCTCCATTGTAGAGGTACATGTTCCCGTTTTAATTAATACGCTATCTGGTGGATGATCCGTTGAGACCATCTGAATAGCCTGTTCCCCAAAAACCATTCTGCATTTTGTTTTAGTTTCTGAATTTTGCTAGATAATAGTTTCTCGTGTATACCTGGCCCTCACGCATGGATGCTCTCTCCCTATGTGATTCCAACAAAAATAAAACACATTTAATACTGTGGTAGCCAAAAAGAGACTCCATTAAGTCCATTTTTAAAATTTTTTATTATTTTTATTTTTTATTGCTATCAAACAGTTGTACATATTTAGGATCCATCAGTTTTGAAAATTACATAAAAGAAGGGAAGAAAATGTCTTCCCTAAAATAATATCAGCACATATACTGAACATTTTAGATTTCATTATGTAGGCTGCAAATATGGAAATTCAGTGAGTTAGTTCACCCACATTTAAATTAAAATAGCACAATTATTTTTAACTTAATTGGTTATTTCCCTTATGACTCATCAAACTCTCAGACCTCTGTTTATCGTGTAACAGTTTAAAGCATGACTTCTAAGCCTCTTACTTTCCGCTCTGCCCAGAATCCTGGCCGTTTGTCATGGGGTCATGTATAAGCAACTGTCAGCCTGGATGCTCCACGGACTCCTCTTGGACCAGCATGAAGAATTCTTTATCAAACAGGGTCCATCTTCTGGTAATGTCAGTGCTCAGCCAGAAGAGGACGAGGAGGATCTGGGCATTGGGGGACTGACAGGAAAACAACTGAGAGAACTCCAGGACTTGGTGAGAGCCCAAAAAGCAGCCTAGTACCCTCCTACCAGGAGTCAGAAAAGCGTGCAGCCAAATGATCTTCTGGTGATCCCTTCTTAGCTCATAGCTGAGCACCTTCCATCAATTCTTTGGATGTAAACATTTGGCTTTATCTTAACTGGTGTGAGACTATAAAATAGAAAATATGTTTGTGAGATTCTTTTTGTTTCCGCTTTCCCAATATATGCATTTAAGAGATTATAGGTCTTACTTATATAGATATAGCTACTCTAAGGGAATAGCTAGCTACGTTTTAGATTTTAAATACAGTTTGGAGTTTTTTTCTTTTTTTTTTTTTTTGAGACAGATTCTCACCTGTCGCCCAGGCTGGAGTGTGATGGCGCAATCTTGGCTCACTGCAGCCGCTGCCTCCCAGGTTCAAGCAATTCTCCTGCCTCAGCCTCCCAAATACCTGGGACCAGGTGTGTGCCACCACGCCTGGCTCATTTTCATATTTTTTATTTTCAGATTTTTAGTAGAGACGGAGTTTTGTCATGTTGGCCAGGCTGGTCTCAAACGCCTGACCTCAGGTGATCCACCCGCCTCAGACTCCCAAAGTGCTGGGATGACAGGCGTGAGCCACCACACCTGGCCATTTGGTGTTTTGATTAGACTCCTCAAAGTTCTACAGTGTCCATATTCATCCATCCATCCATCCATTCATTCATTTATCCTGTGGCAGTATTTCATTGAATGCCTGTTATGTGCCAGGCATTGTTCTAGGTGATACAAATAAAAAGCAGTAGTCTCTGTCCCTAAGGAGCTCGTAGCTTAGGGGAAGATATGTAGAAAAGTAAACATTACAGAAAATGTAATGTTTAGAATATGTAGAAAAGTTACATTACAGTGTACTAAGTGCTCTGAAAAGACTAAATATGGGTATTCTTGGAACATGGTCATGGGATAGGGTCTTGGAGTGACTAGAGAAGGCTTCTCAGTGGAAGGTATGTCTAAATGGCAAAGAGTTTGGGAGGAGTGATCAAGAGATATCCAGGCAGAAGGAATGATCTGTGTAAAGCTACAGGGGCCATTAAGGACATGGTTCATTTAGGGAAACAGTAGTAATTCAATTGAAATGGTCAAGTAAAGACTGAAGTAAAATATTATAAGAGATGGTGTGAGGGAGAGGTGGTACTTGAAACTTTTAAGTTGGTACTTGATGAAACTTGAGTTAAGCAGAGGCAAGATCACAAAGGTGCATGTAAACAGTAGAAATGAATTTGTACTTGAACCTGAAAAGAGTTGGGGGCTATTGAATTTTAAGCAAGTGGGTACCACAGCCAGACTTCATGATAAATCACTCTGGATGCTGTATGGGGAATCATTTTTTTAAAAATCAAGATTAGAGGCCAGTCGACCAGTTAGAGTGTTGGGGAGACTTAGGTGAAAATTATAGTCCCCTAAACCAAAGATACTAACATTGAATATGGAAAAAGAGTAAAGAGGTGTGAGAGATGTTTAGAAGGTGGAATCGATAGGCCTAGTGAGTGCTTGGAAATGAGTCAAGAGGGAAGAGTCATTGATGATACCCAGGTTTCTGCCTTCAGCAACTGGGCAAGTAGTCATGATAGGGGTGTATACTGCTGGTATGCGGGGAAGAAGATGGGTCTAATGGCGGGCATGTTGAGTTTGAGGAATTTGTGGGAAATGTTCAGTGGGCTGAACCTGGGGCTCATGAGAGCACTCCAGCTTGCTCCAAATCTACCTATGGAATCATCAGCATGGAGCTTGGAGATTTTTAATCTGGGGCCCTTGGGTGGCTTCAGAAGGTTCATGAAATGTGATATTTCTGTACATTTGTCTGGAAGGTCCATAGCTTTTATGATTGCAGAGAAGTCTGTGACCTAAAAATTAGAACTATCTGTTCCACTGATCAGTCACAGAAGATGATGTGATTGTATAAGAAGTGTAGGCTGAGAGGAAAAGACAGTCTGGGACAGTGCCCTGAGGAGCACCAGCAGAGCAGACAGAGAGAGAAGACCTGGAAAACAAAAAAGACCACCTCTTTCATTCTATAAGTAAGGAAGCTGGTCAACTGTGCAAGTGTTTACTCAGTAGTAAAGGCAGAGTGAAGGCCCAAGTCCCAGTATTTAAAAAGCCACTCTTACTTCCACCATGCCACTCTGCTGCCTGAAGATGAAATACGTCTCTCCAAAACGGGTGGTTCGAGAACTGTGCAACACCAGATTTGAAGTCCCTGCGTCTTTACTTTAAATCATGGGTTGGGAGAGTTACTAGATATTTTCTTGTTTTCCTTTTCTTGCTTCGTACTTCATCTTGATGTGTACTTTTTCCTTGACTAGCGCCTGATTGAGGAAGAGAACATGCTGGCACCATCTCTGAAGCAGTTTTCCCTACGAGTGGAGATTTTGCCATCCTACATTCCAGTGAGGGTTGCTGAAAAAATCCTATTTGTTGGAGAATCTGTCCAGATGTTTGAGAATCAAAATGTGAACCTGACTAGAAAAGGTAGAAATCTCCTTGTCCAATGTACCGCACCCTCAAAAGCTCTTCTTCCTTAACACTGTGTGGCCCCCCAGCATGCCTGGTCAGAGCTGAGTGGTCGATAATATTCCTATCCTGAGATTGTAGCAGAATCATGACATTTGTCTGAGAAGCAGGTGAAGTTGCTGCCCCACCGAGATTAGCCCTCCCCAGAAAACCCTGACTGTCCTGGGTATTCTCTGTCCTCCTTTGATGGTGCCTTCCTATTTTGCAGGATCCATTTTGAAAAACCAGGAAGACACTTTTGCTGCAGAGCTGCACCGTCTCAAGCAGCAGCCGCTCTTCAGCTTGGTGGACTTTGAACAGGTGGTGGATCGCATTCGCAGCACTGTGGCTGAGGTTTGTGTTTCGTCATATATGTGTGTGTGTATATATATTATATATATATTTTTTTCTTTTTTTAGAAAAAAATTAGACTAGTTCCCTAGAAATTGAGTTACTTGGTCAGGCACAGTGGCTCATGCCTGTAGTCTCAACACTTTGGGAGGCCAAGGCAAGTGGATCATCTGAGGTCAGGAGTTCAAGACCAGCCTGGCCAACATGGTGAAACCCCGTCTCTACTAAAAATACAAAAATTAGTCGGGTGTGGTGGCAGGCGCCTGTAATCCCAGCTACTTAGGAGGCTGAGGCAGGAGAATCGCTTGAACCTGGGAGGCAGAGGTTGCTGTCAGCTGAGATCACGCCATTGCACTCCAGCCTGTGCAACAGAGCAAGACTCTGTCTCAAAAAAAAAAAAAAAAAAAGAAAAGAAAGAAAGAAATTGAGTTACTTGACTTTTGTTTTTTTCTTGATGTGGTAAGAACTGAGCTTGGAAAGAGCTGTTGCAGAGAGTTGAAGGCAGGAAGCAGAAAAAGAAAAGCCTCAGTTTTCATTAACAGAGGCAGAACTGCCTTCCCATTTTCCTATCTAACTAAAAAACAGGTGGTTTTTAGTTGGTTGGTTAGTTGAATAAAGGGGAGGTCTTGGTTTAAATTTTGAAAATCGCATTTTGGATCTGTCTCTATCGTTTGCAATAACTCGTAGGAATCAACTAATTCTGACTAAATTTAGTGTCTTTCTTGTAGTTTAGTATGGCTTATAACTTGTACTTTCATTTAAATACACAATCATCTTATGAGGAAAGCAGAACAAATATCATTTTCTCATTCTTATAAATGGAGCAAACACTCAGCACGCTGACTTGTCTGGCTAGTCTGGTGTGGCACAGTGAGTTGCCATAGTGAAGTCAGTGCCAGGCCTCCGACTCCTGGAGCGCAGTCTTCCTCATTTTGAATTGTGCTGCTGCCACCGACTTAAATTGTGACCAGTAAGTTTTCAAAGGAGCATATATGTTCTGTGGCTTATATTAACATTTGTCTCATGGATGTGTGATAACATGAAATGAGACATTTAGTCAACTGCGTTGTTAACTATATTCATGGCTTTCAACATTGGCTAAGCATAGGATCGCATGAGAAAATTTTAGTTTTTATTTTTATTTTTTTCATGGAGTCTTGTTCTGTTGCCCAGGCTGGAGTGCAATGGCGTGATCTCGGCTCACTGCAACCTCCACCTCCCAGGTTCAAGCAATTCTCCTGCCTCAGCCCCCCAGGTAGCTGAGATTACAGGCACATATCACCACGCCCTGCTAATTTTTGTATTTTTAGTAGAGATGGGGTTTCACCATGTTGGCCAGGCTGGTCTGAAACTTGTGAGCTCAAGTGATCCTCCCACCTCAGCCTCCCAAAGTTCTGGGATTACAGGCGTGAGCCACCACGCCTGGCCCGCGTGAGGAAATTTTAAAACCTGCACTTGCACCAAGTCCTTACTTCCAGACCTTATGATTCGTAGGTCAGTAGAGGGTCAGTACTTTTGTTTTGTTTTGTTTTTGAGACAGGGTCTTGCTTTGTCGCCCAGGCTGGAGTGCAGTGGAGTGATCATGGCTCACTACAACCTCCGCCTCCCAGGTTGAAGCAGTTCACGTGCCTCAGCCTCCTGAGTAGCTGGGACTGCAGGCCTGCACCAGCATGCTTGGCAAACTTTTTTGTATTTTAATAGAGATGGGGGTTTCGCCATGTTGGACAGGCTAGTCTTGAACTTTTGGGCTCGAGCGATCCTTCTGCCTTGGCCTCCTAAAGTGCTGAGACTACAGGTGTGAGCTACCACGCCCAGTAGGAACTTCTATTTAAGCAAGCCAGTCCATCCACCAAAGACAAACCTCTACAGGGGATTCTGAAAATAGAACTAAAAAGCAGTGCACTTCGCTCAGTGTCTGGAACTGCTAAGAGCATCAACTCTCCATGGGTTGGAAGCACAATAATCTATTATAAATATGGTTTCCCTTTCTAGTCACTGTCTCAAAAACTCCTGGTCATCACAGATAGAACTGTGTTGTAGACACAGAATGTTCAGTCTTAAAATGGCTGTGAAGTATTGTTTGATTTGATTCTTTCTGGGCAAGTAAATATCTAAATGACCCATGTTCCTGTCCTTTCAAAATTTTAAGACATTGCCTCACCCCCGTCTATAGGCCAAGGCAGGTTCTAGTCTAGAGGGGTTGATATCAGTTCCTTTCATTTTTGAAAATTGTATATTTCTGTTGTCTTATTTTTATTACAAATCTTTGGAAAATATAATGGAGGAAAGTAAAATTGTACTGAGTGAATTATAAACAATAGGAAAAATTGTTTTTTTCTTGTGAAAGTTTGCTAGAAATTATGTTCCAATTTGTAAAAATGATAAGCAAACTGAAGCACAGGCTCTTTGGAGTTTCTTAGAATTGTAGCTAATAGACTTTGGAAAGCATTATTGCAACAATAACAGCCTACAGCAATGAAAAGAAATGGTGTGCCCTGAAGGAAAAGGGGGGAGTGTTTTGTAAATATGTGTTATATTTATCCCTTTTGGAATTCTTTCTCTCCTGTAAAAAATTTTTCCTTTAAAGTGTGTGTACTATGTGAATCTATTTCTGTAAAGTTCAAACACAGGCGAAGTGAACCTGGCGCTAGAAGTCAGGACTGTATTTGCCTTTGAGTCAGTGGGAGGGGCATGAGCGGGGCCTCTAGGATGCTGGAACACTCAGTTGGTTCCATTTCTTGATCTGGGTGCTGGTAATACAGGTGTTCAATTTGTAAAAATCTTCAAGCTGTGAACTTATGACTTGTACTTTTCTGTATGTATTTTAGTACTTAAAAAGGTTTTAAAAATTCTGAAGTACTTAATAGTTTTTATTTTAATTATGTCTTTTGTTAGCTTTTACTGCTTACATAGAGAAATGGTGGTATTACTTTTTGTAGGTTAATCTTATACCTTGCAACTCGTTGAACTCTTTTTAGTTCTAATAGTCTGATTATATCAGTTGTTCTAAGCAGATGACCATACCATCTGCAAATGAGAGAACTTTCCTTCTATTTTTATGATTACTTTTTGAGATGGGGTCTTGCTATGTTGCCCAGGCTGGTCTTGAACTCCTCGGCTCAGGTGGTCCTTCTGTGAGCCACCATACCCAGTCCAGAGGTTTTTATCATAAGTAGATGTTGAATTTTATCAAGTGCTCTTTCTGTATCAATTAAGGTTCAGTTTCTTGCTCTGGGCTATTTTTCTCTTTTAGTCTATTTATATGATAAATTTCTGGTTAGATTTGGAGATGCTGGTTCTTCCTGAGATAAACACTACTTGATTGTGATGTTTTACATCTGTAATCACTAGTTGTATTAGTCTGTTCTCGTGCTGCTAATAAAGACATACCCAAGATTGGGGAATTTGTAAAGGAAAGTGGTTTAATGAACTCACAGTTCCACATAGATGGGGAGGCCTCACAGTCATGGCTGAAGACGAATGAGGAGCATAGTCAGGTCTTACATGGCAGCAGGCAAGAGAGCTTGTGTAGGGGGACTCCCCTTTATAAAATACTATAAAAAATATAAAAAATGTAATTTATTATAAAATAAATCACCCCTTTATAAGAGTGATTTATTCCCTCTCAGAAGAACAGCATGAGAAACACCACCCCCATGATTCAATCACCTCCCACCGGGTTCCTCCCACGACACGTGGGAATTATGGAAGCTACAATTCAAGATGAGGTTTGGGTGGGGACACAGCCACACCGTGTCACCAATGAAATAAGACTATACCCTTCTTTCCCTGTATTTTGCTTATGTGGATTTGGAATAAAGACTCTACGGTCCTCATAAAATGGGCTAGTTGGGTTTTGTTCTTTTTCTATTTTTTAAGAACAATTTATATAAGATAGGAATTGTTACTGAAAGTTTGAATTTACCTGAAAAATAATCTAAGCTAGATATTTTTAGGAGGGAAAACTTAACTAGTTCAGTGTATTTAAAACCTGTTGACATAAACCAGTTATTTCTTGTATTAATTTTGGTATTTTCTAGGAATTTACCTATTTCATATAGATTTAATTTGTAAAAATCTGTAGTCATTTATGTTTTATTTATTTAGAATTTCTTTTTATTGTTTAGTCTTATTAGTCTTTTCAAAGAACAAGCTTTTGTTTTTATCCTTTTTTCTTTTTCTTTTTTTTTTTTTTTTTTGAGACAGAGTCTCACTGTGGCCCAGGCTGGAGTGCATTGACGCAATCTTAGCTCACTTCAGCCTCCACCTCCCAGGTTCAAGGGATTCTCCCACCTCAGCTCCTGAGTAGCTGGGATTACAAGCGTGTGCCACAACATCCAGCTAATTTTTGTATTTTTAGTACAGATGGGGTTTCACCATGTTGGCCAGGCTGGTCTCGAACTCATGACCTCAAGTGATCCACCCACCTCGGCGTCTCAAAGTGCTGGGATTACAGGCGTGAGCCACTGGGCCTGGCTTTTTCTTTAATTAAAAAAAAATTTTTAGAGACAGCTTCTCGCTGTGTCACCCAAGCTGGAGAGCAGTGGTGCAATCATGAGTCACTGCAGCTCGACCCCCAGGCTCAGTGGATTTCCCGTCTCAGCCTCCCAAGTAGCTGGGACTAGAGGAGCGTGCCACCGTGCCTGGTTAATTTTTTTTTTTTTTTTTTTTTTTTTTTTGGCGATACAGTCTTACTCTTCTTACTCTGTTGCCCAGGCTAGAGTGCAGTGGTGTAATCCTAGCTCACTGCAGCCTCCAATTCCTGGGCTCAGGCGATCCTCCCTTCTGCCTCAGCCTTCCAAAGTGCAGGGATTAGACGCATGAGCCACAGCACCTGGCCTTTCCTTCTCTTTTTTTCCCCAGAGACAGGGTCTTGTTCTGTCTCCCAGGCTGGAGTGCAGTGTTGTGATCATAGCTCACTGTAATCTTGAACTCTTAGGGTAAAGCAATCCTCCTGCCTCAGCCTCCTGAGTAGCTAGGACTACAGGTGCAAATCACCATGCCCTGCTAACTTTTAAACTTTTTGTAGCGACGGAGTCTCAGTGTGTTGCCCAGGCTGGTCTAGAAGTCTTGGCTTCAAGCACTCATCCCACCTCAGTCTCCCAAAGTGCTGGGATTACAGGTGTGAGCCACCACGCCCCAGCACTACAGTTTTGACCTGTTTCATTTCTGACCTGGGCCAGTTCACCCATCCTTAGGCAACCTGGTGGTCCCCCACTCCCAAGTGGTCACGGTATTGATGCCGAATTTATTGTGGACACCTAATTGGTGTAGCACACTACGCCCAGAATTCCTAGACTCAAGTGAAGCTTCTGCCTCAGCCCCCCGAGTAACTGGGCCTATAGGCATGTGCCACTGTGCCCACCAGGCTTTTTCTTTTTTTAATTTTATTTTTTAAATGTATATTTTGGGGTCAGGTGCAGTGGCTAACGCCTGTAATTCCAGCACTTTGGGAGGCCGAAGCAGGCAGATCACTTGAGGTCAGGAGTTTGAGACCAGCCTGGCCAATGTGGCAAAACCCTGTCCCTACTAAAATAAACTACAAAAATTAGCCGGGTGCGGTGGTGCGCGCCTCTAGTCCCAGCTACTCGGGAGGCTGAAGCAGGAGAATTGCTTGAACCTGAGAGGCAGAGGTTGCAGCGAGCTGAGATGGCGCCACTGCATTCCAGCCTGGGCAGTAGAGTGAGACTCCATCTCAAAATAAAATAAAAATAAAATAAAATAAGAGATATATACACACATATATATATGTATATTTTGTTTGAATTCTCTGTTTCATTGATATCTGCCTTTTTCTTTATTATTTTCTTCCTTCGTGTTTTTTTTTTAGTTACTCTTAACCAGTTTGAAAGCTTGACTCCTTTATTTTTAACCTGTGTTTTCTGAGAAATATATATAAAACTTTGCATATTGTTTTTACTGTGTCTCACAAGTTTTTGGCATGTAGTGTTTTCATTATAGTCTATATAATTCTAATTAATTTTGTTTATGATTTTTTAACCAAGGAATTTGTTTTAATTTTATTGCATTATAGTTTGAGAGCATGGTCTGTATGATATTGTTTCTTTGGAATCTATTGCAGGTTTCTTTATGGACTAATACAGGGTCTGGTTTTTGTTTTTAGCTGTCCTACATGTGCCTGGAGAATGTATATTCTGTGTCGAGTGTAGACTTCTTTGTATGTTCTAATTGTACATTTTGAGGATACCTGTGAAGTATGCGCATATTTATAATAAATGTTGTGCTTTTCCTTTTATTATGCATATGTCCTCTGTATCACCTATGATATATATATAAAAAATACTTTTTTTTTTTTTTTTTTTTTTTTTGAGACGGGATGTCCTCGCCCGTGGCGCAGGCTTGGGGTGCCGTGGCCGGGATCCTCCAGCCTCTCACTTGCAAGCTCCGCCTCCAGGTTTACGCCATTCTCCTGCCCTCAGCCTCCCGAGTAGCTGGGACTACAGGCGCCTGCCCACACTCGCCCAGCCTAGTTTTTTTGCTAACCTTTTTAGTAGAACGGGGTTCAACCGTGTCAGCCGGATGGTCTTCGATCTCCTGGAACCTCGTGGATCCGCCCGTCTCGGCCCTCAAAAGGCTGTGATTACAGCTTGAGCACCCGGCCCCAGGCCCTTTTTTTTTTTTTTTGAGACAAAGTGCCTCACTCTGGTTGCCCAGGCTGGAGTGCAGTGGCGCAATCTCGTCTCACTGCAACCTCTGCCTCCCGGGTTCAGGCAATTCTCCTGCCTCAGCCTCCCGAGCAGCTGGGACTACAGGCACCCGCCACCACATCCAGCCAATTTTTTGTGTTTTTAGTAGAGACGGGGTTTCACCATGTTAGCCAGGCTGGTCTCGATCTCCTGACCTCGTGATCCGCCCGCCTCGGCCTCCCAAAGTGCTGAGATTTCCCATTGTCTTTTTCATTTGCATGCCTGTAATGACTAGTGAGGTTGAACATTTTTTCATGTGCCTCTTTGCCCATTTTGTATTGGGTTTTTGTTTTCTTGTTGTTGAATTTTGAGAGTCCTTCATGTATTCTGAATTTAAGTTCTTTAAGAGATATGTGACCTACAAATATTTTCTCACAATTTTTTTTTTTTGAGATGGAGTCTTACCCTGTTGCCCAGGCTGGAGTGCAGTGGCATGGTCTCAGCTCACTGCAAGCTCTGCCTCCCACGTTCAAGTGATTCTTCTGCTTCTGCTTCCCAAGTAGCTGGGACTACAGGTGCCTGCCACCACGCCTGGCTAATTTTTGTACTTTTAGTAGAGATGGGGTTTCACCGTGTTAGCCAGGATGGTCTCAGACTCCTAACCTTGTGATCCACCCGCCTCGGCCTCCCTAAGTGCTGGGATTACAGGCATGAGCCACCGTGCCCGGCCTATTTTCTCACAGTTTATGACTTGTCCCAGAAGTTGTTAATTTTGATGAAATCCAGTTTACCTTTTTTTTTTCTTTTATGGATCATGTTTTTGGTATTATGTCTAAGAACTCTGCCTAACTCAAGGATATAAAGATTTTCTCTTCTGTTTTCTTCCAGAAATTTTATAGTTTTCATTTTTATACCCAGGTCTATGATTGATATGCTTGGATCTGTGTCCCCACCAAAATTTCTTGAGTTGTAATCCCCAGTGTTGGAGGTAGGGCGAGGTGGGGCATGGTGGGAGATGATTGGATCATGAGGCTGTTTCTCATGAATGGTTTAGCACCATTCCCCTTGGTACTGTCCTCACGATAGTAAGTTCTCGTGAGATCTGGTTGTTTAAATGTGTGCAGCACCTCCCCCTTGCTGTCTCTTGCTCCTACTCCTGCCATGTGAGATGCCTTTGCCTTCTGCCATGACTGTAAGTTTCCTGAGGCCTCCCTAGAAGCCAAGCAGAAGCCACTATGTTTCCTGTACAGCCTGCAGAACTGTGAGCACCTAAACCTCTTTTCTTTATAATGACCCAGTCTCAGGTATTCTTTACAGCAGTGGGAGAACGGAATAATACATTGATCCTTTTGAGTGAATTTTTCTGTGTGGGGCAAGGTATAGTCTTCTTTTAATACATTGCTGGATTTGTATGGAACCATTCTTTGCAGGACTTCTCACTGTAATGAAATTTGTCCCTGTTTTGTTGGTTGTTTTCATAGCATCTCTGGAAGTTGATGGTAGAAGAATCTGATTTACTGGGTCAGCTGAAGGTAATGGCTTAACTGTTGTTGTGATTCTTACGGTGATGCTGGTAGGCAGTGACTTGCATTCTCTGACATTTCCTGAGAGCACTGGTTGCCTATACCCAGACTTCCAGAGTCGACTCACTTGTTCTTATCCAAGTGAGCAAACTATACCTAATGCCAAAAATCTACTATAATACAAAGATTTGGGAGTATACTTTTTTCTGGTACATATATATATAATTATGTTGCTATTGAATGAATAATGCCAAATACACACCAGTCATCCTGCTATGCGGAACTAAGAATGCCTCTTTGAAATGCCAAATGCCTGTATCTTTTGTAGCTTGGGCTCAAATTGATGAAATTAGAAATTACTGTATACGTGTAATTCCTCAGGACAGTGAAGAGCTCCTGCCTTGCTTTACTGAATTGTAAATTGAAATTCTTTCCTCAGATCATTAAAGACTTTTACCTTCTGGGACGTGGAGAACTGTTTCAGGCCTTCATTGACACAGCTCAACACATGTTAAAAACACCGCCCACTGCAGTAACTGAGCATGGTAATTGTCTGTGACCCTGAGAATGATCAACTGATTGACATCGTAGGGTATTTCTTGGCTGCTGCTGACCCTTTTAAGGCCTCCTCCACATAAGAGCAGCCTGGTCAGTTACAGAGCAGTGGCTTCCAGAGATGGAAGGCCCTTGCAGGTAGGCTTCACGCTGGGGTCATTGGGAACAGTGTCTTGGCCTATGACCCTTCCTGGAAGAGTTGGTGCAGGCCTTCACACCAGGTGTTTTTTCTCATTGGATTATAGCCATATATCCTTTATGGGTCATATTGGGACTTAGTGCTGCTTGTAGTGTTATAGTAGAATTCTTTCGGTGTGAATGACAGAAACTCACCCAAACTAGCCTAGTTGGGAAAGGGAAATGGATTTGTTATTGTATCTAAAACCCCAGTGGGACAACTTGGATTCATTCTCTCTCTCTCGCGCTCATTTGCTCATTCACCATATCTTGTCTGTGTCTCTTGTGAGCTCTTTGATGACCTTCTGGAAACATGATCACGAGCAGCTCCCAGGAGTATGCCTCACAGTGTCCTCTACTGAAGGAAGTGAGCCTCCTCCCTCTTGTTGCAAGTTAGAGAATTCTAGGGAATTCTCTAGGTTTTGATTGGCCCAGCCCACATCACATGTATCAAAGAGGTCAGACATTAGGCTATGCCTAGTTCAGTGAAGTGTCCACCCCTTGACCAACTGATGGCCATTTCCATTCATACTGCATGAATAGAGTTGAGTAAAGATCCAAAAAAAGAAATGTGAGAAAATACATACACACAGGCTGATCATTTTTCTAACTCAGTAAAACCATAGATGTCCACTGTACTTATATAGTACAAATATAAGTACTTGTGGTTGCAAATATCAGAAAATCCAATTCAAACTCACTTAAGCAAAGCAAAAGGAAAGAAATAATGTATCGATTCTCATAACTGAAAAGCTCAGACGTATGATGGTTTTCGGCAAAGTTTGATCCAGTGACGCGGGTGGCACCTTTAGGACTTGGTCTCTTTCCATCTTTCACCTCTTTCTTCTCAGACAGGCCTGCTCTGTATGGTAGCAGATAGTCTCTAGCCAAGTTTACATCCTACTAAGCCTCTGTTTATCTTGAAAAAAGAGCTGGATTCTTTTAGAGTCTGAATAGAGCCTCTGGATTGGCCTGGCTTGGTCATGTTAATATCCCTAAACAATATAGCATAACAGAGTAGAGTATTACATTCCATTTGATCATGCCTACATCACCCAGCTACCCCTAGAATCGGGTGTTGTCTAGCACTAACCCACTGGAAATATGTGAACTGTACTGAATAGGGATGATTCTCCAAGGAAAATCAGGAGGCAGTTTGTCAGCAAGAAGAGAAGAATGGATGGATGTTAGACAAATGCAACAGATGTCCACTGTGCCCTGCTGTTAGCACTGGGCATGTTGGGGGAGAAGTGGAAAGCTGGAGGAGTCTGGGTTTGTTACGGAGCCAAGCATCCTTGTCAGCCCCTGTGTTCTTTCTTGCAGATGTGAATGTGGCCTTTCAACAGTCAGCACACAAGGTTTTGCTAGATGATGACAACCTTCTCCCTCTGTTGCACTTGACAATTGAGTATCACGGAAAGGAGCACAAAGGTTTGCTGTTCCTCCCTGTCACCTTAGAGTTCCTGCTGGTCATCCATTTTCCCATCTCTGCTTCCATCCCCCACCATAGAAACCATATGATTTTGGATCTTAGAAATCAGGTAATGCAGTACTATAATTCTATAGAGAAGAAAAGGAAAGTACAGAAGTCCATAGAGGCTAAGTGCGATGCCCAGGCCATGTTTTTGGGGGGTTGGGTTTTTTTTTGTCATGCTGCTGGAATGGTCCCTGTTTATTTCCAGCCCCCAGATTTTAAGGCTGAGGAAAGAATCTCTAGAAGACCTCCCAAGAGAACCTCACGTAAAAGTGTCCTTGCCCTCTTCTTTGTGTCCGCTGTAAGCTTCTGACATCGCAGACTCCAGTGAGCTCTGTTTCTTTTCTTTTGGAGACGGAGTCTCATTCTGTTGCCCAGGCTGGAGTTCTGTGGCACATTCTTGGCTCACTACAACCTCTGCCTTCCAGGTTCAAATAATTCTCATGCCTCAGCCCCCTGAGTAGCTGGGACTACAGCCACCACGCCCAGCTAATTTTTGTATTTTTAGTAGAGACAGGGTTTCACTGTATTGCCCAGGCTGGTCTTGAACTCCTGTGAGCTCTAGTTTCATTAATGTTATTCACTTGTTGAATCTCTGGTTCTAGATTAACCAAGTTGTTATCTTTTCTTTTTTTCTTTTCTTTATCACAGCAGATGCTACTCAGGCAAGAGAAGGGCCTTCTCGGGAGACTTCTCCCCGGGAAGCCCCTGCATCTGGCTGGGCAGCCCTAGGTCTTTCCTACAAAGTACAGTGGCCACTACATATTCTCTTCACCCCAGCTGTCCTGGAAAAGTGAGTATTTCTGAGTTTCTCACAGGTAAATAATGACCCACCTTACTTGTAAGGGAAGAAACTAGCAGGACAGAATTAGCAAGGTGTGGTGGCACGTGCCTGAAATCCCAGCTACTCCAGAGCCTGAGGCAGGAGGATCCCTTAAACCCAGGATTTCAAATCCATCCTAGGCAGCGTAGTGAGACTCCATCTCGTAAAAAAAAAAAAAAATTAATGGGAGCAAGATAGCCACCCAAGTAGTTTTTAACAATATGTAAATCAAAAGTTGTAAACCCCTCCAGGGACTAGACTGATCACATTAATAAGTGGAGCTGCAGATATGAGACACGGAGTGGTGGGTGTTAGAATCAATGGGAGAGCATATCTACTTCAAACCATCTTTTTTTTTAAATTGCCAAATAAGCAGCAGTTTGTAGGCCGCCAGTTTGTGAGCTCTGGAAAATAAGGTCTCAGGCACCATGTCGAGATAATGGCCCTTGATAATTCCATCACACCTGACAAGGTCTCTCCCTCACTTTTGTAATATTTTTTGTTGATTGACTTGGGAAAGTCCTCCAGCCTGCATGTTTGCTGTGGATGTTAGCCCCTGGGGAGAAGACTGCCTCTGTAAGGGAGAGCCGACAGGGGCAGCCAAGCTTGGGGGTGGAACAAAGGAGTTGACCAAGCTGGAGTCTCCTGCTGTCAGGTCAGCCTCGCTCTTTATCATGAGAGCCTGCCAAGTGCTGTTGCTTGCCTTGGTCAGGACCTAATGTCCCCAAACCAGAGATCTACAGAAAAGAGGTAAGAAGCAAATGTGGCTGGTGGTGGCTTTTGAAATCTATCCTCACACCGTATCTAGGAACTTCCCAAACCCAACTACTGGTCAGAGAACTGGCCCCTGGCGTGGATGGAGGATTGAAGCTGTCATACTCTGTGAAGCCAGAGGAATGAAGAAAAGGGAAACAAAAAGGCCATCTCTTCTAGCCGCCACTCTTGATCCTTCCTATTCTTCTTCCTAGCCCTCTCTACTTGTTTCAGGTAGAGAAGCTTAGGGTAAAATAGACTGGGCATAAACTGGAAAAGATGAGGCTGGTTCAGGAAGAAGATTCTATGGCAAATTCAAAGCCCACGGCCCAGCTAAGCAAGTGGCATGGACCCTGTGCAAAGAACTTCCAAAGATCCTTAGCTCCCAGAATCCTACAGGCCCACAGTCCACTTACCTCCTAACTTGATATGCTCTCAACACCCTTGAAGAAATCAAGTTTAGATGTATTTTTTCATTTTCATTATAAAAATTTCTAAATATAAACAAAAGTATAGACCATAACAAAATCGTGTGTCCTCATTATTCACCTTCAGTAACCATCAACATTATACTACTATTATCTGTCCCTCCCCCACTTTTTTGTTAGAGCTGTATAAAGCAAATCAGTCATTTCATTCTGCCAATAAACAATTGATAAAGGCATATTTCAACAGAACTACAATGCCATTATCACATCCAGTAAAATTAACAGTAATCCCTTATAATCTAGTATCCAGTCTACATTAAAATTTCTCCAGTTATCTAAAAATTGTCTTTATGTTTGGGTTTGTTCAAATCAGTATCCAAACAAGGTCTATTATTTCATTATGTTTGTTCCTTTAGAAATAGATAATTTTAAAAACCAAACAGAATGGGACTGTCTTCTGCAAGCCTGCCTACAGACAGGTAAATCAATCCTGTTGTACCAAGAATCAGCTGTTCTTCCCATGTGTCTTTTCAGTACGGAGTCTCAGCATTAAGCAGTTAGCTCCTGAACTTGCAGGGAGGCAGGAGTCTATCTTAGAGGGAAGCTATTTTACTTTCTTTGGGCTCAGGGACAGAGAATCAGATTCATCATAATCCTTGATTCATAATACACTATTTTTTTTGAGACAGGGTCTTGCTGTGTTGCCCAGGCAGCACACTGCAGCCTTGACCCCTGGGTTTGAGCGATCTTCCTGCCTCAGCTTCCCGAGTAGCTGGGACTATAGGTGGGCACCACCACACCTGGCTGATGTTTTAAATTGTTAGTAGAGATGGCGTCTCACTATGTTGCTCAGGCTGGTCTTGAACTCCTGGGCTTAAGCAATTCTCCTGCCTTGGCCTCCCAAAGTGCCAGGATTACAGGTATGAGCCAACATCCCTGGCCTGCTTTAAGAATTATAAAAAAGGCTATCTGTAATCTTTTGTGATTTACGTTTTTCATTCAAAAATCGTATTTTTGAATATGAGAAGCAACATGAGTCAGCCATTCAAAAAGGCATATTTCAATAGAACTACAATGCCATTATCACAGCCAGTAAAATTAACAGTAGTCCCTTATAATCTAATATCCAGTCCACATTGAAATTTCCCAAGTTATCTAAAAAATGCAGAGATGGGGTCTCATCTTGTTGTGTAGCTGGAGTTCATTCATTTGACTGCTATATAATATTCCATTGTATAAATAAATTATAATTTATTTGTCTACATCTCTAGCCATTCTTTCCTTACCGCCTTTTTGTGAGAGGAGTGGGTGGCACAAAGTCCTAGAGCCTGTCACAGGGTGAAATTTTTATCTTGAATATCCTGTTGTTTCTGTCCTAGGTACAATGTTGTTTTCAAGTACTTACTGAGCGTACGCCGGGTGCAAGCTGAGCTGCAGCACTGCTGGGCCCTACAAATGCAGCGCAAGCACCTCAAGTCCAACCAGACTGATGCGATCAAGTGGCGCCTAAGAAATCACATGGCATTTTTGGTGGATAATCTTCAGTACTATCTCCAGGTCTGTGCTGAGAGATGAGTAGAAGGAAGGGGTATGGAAAAATGTCTAGCAGGTTGGCAGGGAGTATTGAATAGGGACTGTAAGTTTGTATTTGATAAAATGGTGGGGTTTGAGAAATTCAGGAGTTATATCATTAAGCATGTTTCTTAAAATAAAAAAGCATTTTATTTTATTATTTTTTAGAGACAGGGTCTTTCTCTGTTTCCCAGGCTAGAGTGCAGTGGTACAGTGATAGCTCACTGAAGCCTCAAGCTCCTGGACTCAAGTGATCCCCCTGCCTCAGCCTCTCAAGTAGCTGTGACCACAGGTACATGCCACTGCACCCAGCTGGTTTTTAAAATTTTTTGTAGAGGTGGAGTCTCACTTTGTTGCCCAGGCTGGTGTCAAACTCCTGGCTTCAGCCAGGTGTGGTGGCTCACGTCTGTAATCTCAGCACTTTGGGAGGCTGAGGTGGGCGGATCACTTGAGGTCAGGAGTTTGAGACCAGCCTGGCTAGCATGGTGAAACGCCATCTCTACTAAAAATACAAAAAAATGAGCCGAGCGTGGTGGCGCATGCCTGTAGTCCCAGCTACCTGGGAGGCTGAGGTAGAAGAATTGCTTGAACCTGGGAGGTGGAGGTTGCAGTGAGCCGAGATCACACCATTGCACTCCAGCCTAGGCGACAGAGCAAGACTCCATGTCAAAAAAAAAAAGAAAGGAAAAGAGAAAAGGATGGGGCAGGGGAGAGTGGTCAGCCAGGACATTGGAGGGAGGGGTTTTAGAATTATGCAAATAACTTCCTACAAGGCTGGGCAATATAAGGGTGTCTTTGGTCAGCCTTAATGTGACTTAGAAGGAAGATGAGTGGGGGCAAAGCATTTTCATTTCAATCTGTCAGGCATCTTAATGTCTTTGAGTGCTTAGAATATTCAAGGTGCTAAACTTTTTGTGTAATGTCTATCAGGTAGATGTGTTGGAGTCTCAGTTCTCCCAGCTGCTTCATCAAATCAATTCTACCCGAGACTTTGAAAGCATCCGATTGGCTCATGACCACTTCCTGAGCAATTTGCTGGCTCAATCCTTTATCCTATTGAAACCTGTAAGTAAGGCGCATTGGTTTCCTCGGACTGCTTCTAGCACTGACCATTCCCTTAGGCGCTTTGAGTTGACAGGATATGAAACCATCATTAAGCAATTATTCAAGTCCATTTTAAAACATTTTTTAAGAATGTATAAAGCGGCCGGGCATGGTGGCTTATGCCTGTAATCCCAGCACTTTGGGAGGCCGAGGTAGGTGGATCACAAGGTCAGGAGTTCAAGACCAGCCTGGCCAACATAGTGGAACCCTGTCTCTACTAAAAATACAAAAAGAAAAAAATAGCCGGGTGTCGTGGCAGTCACCTGTAATCCCAACTACTTGGGAGGCTGAGGCAGGAGAATTGCTTGGACCCGGGAGGCGGAGGTTGCAGTGAGCCGAGATCGTTCCACTGCACTCCAGCCTGGGCAACAGAGCAAGATTCTGTCTTTGGGGATGGGGTGGGGGGAGGAAAGAATGTGTAAAGCAAAACTAAAAAGGCATGTTAAAACAGGACCTAAGATGTCTTTGAATTTTGGAAATATGGGGTGTGGTGAGCAGCTACAGATGAAAGAATTATGTGCTTAAACCCTCAGGAGTTAAAGAAACTCAAAATCCTTGCTGACAATACAGAAAAATCAATGAAAAGCATATAGAGTTCACTTTCTTAGAAATCTTTTGGACCAGGATGGATCAGTCATTTCAAAGTTTTCATAGACAGCTAGAGTAGTGTTTCTCTCTCGATGTGTGTTTCTGTAAATACATGTATGTCTCCTTCGTGGCAGTCATTCTCAACTTTGGCTGCACATTGGAATCATCGGGACCCTTTAAAAAAATCCAGATGACAGAGCACTTAAATTAGAATCCCTAAAACAGTGGGACCCAGCTACCAATTTTTTTTAAAGCTCACAAGCTAGTTTCAATTCCAGGATAAAGAACAGGAAGATTGAAATGATCTCTGGTAGTTTCTAATGGAACGGTCATGCCTCCTCTCTGACATGAGCTGGTTGTTATTCCTCAGTGTGCTACAGCACAGCCGTTACAGACTTTTAAAAATGTTCTGGTGTTTAGGGCTATTTCTGCTGCCCAGGAAGAGTAAGATATATATTAATAAATGCCATTTCAGAGGGCTGGTTGAAAACAACCAAGAACTACTGTGATGGGTCGATGCTGTCCTTATGTGGCATAGATGTATCCATAGGGAAAAGCCGAGTATCAGAGCAGGTCATCATCATTAAATATTTATTGAGTGCTTACTGTATGCAAGGCACTGGGGATACAAAGAGGTATAATTCATGGCTCTGCCCTTAAGGAGCTCACAATCTAGTTGGAAAAACAAGACATATATATACATACAGAAATCATTAACAACACAGAGGCCTGAACAATTGCCAAGTGGACAACAGTACAGATAATAAAGAAGCAAGAAACGGGGTTCACTAAAGGCTACAGTGGGGAAGGGAGTGCTTCACTGAGAGAGTGGGACTTGAACTGGTATTAAAAAGAAGAGCATCCCAGGCAAAGGGAACAACACTCACAGCTCAGAGGCAGGAACACACTCTGCGGGTCTAAGAAATGAAGAGTTAAATGTGGCTAGAATGGAGGTTTGGTGCAGGGCTGAGAGAGTAATACTCGCGTACGCAGGAAAGGATGCGTTTGTTTTACACATATTGTATGTCTGAGGGGCTGGCAGGCCTTGCAAGTGACAGTGTCTATCCTCTCAGATTTGGGAGGTCAGCTATTAATCAGACTGTTCTCCCAAATCTTTAATTTCATGGACGTACCTTCCTTCTTTTCCTAATGCCAACTCTGTTTCCTGGGTAGGTGTTTCACTGCCTGAATGAAATCCTAGATCTCTGTCACAGTTTTTGTTCGCTGGTCAGTCAGAACCTAGGCCCACTGGATGAGCGTGGAGCCGCCCAGCTGAGCATTCTCGTGAAGGTGCGTCTGCCTGGAAGTAAGCAGCCTTGCCGAAAGGACAGAGGTGGTTTTGTCAATGGAGAATTCATGATCTTTCCTCTGAGTCAGTAAAGCATTTCCTCAATACACACACGTACAGAAATAAGATATAAAGATTAAAATGTTGGTATCAGTTGATTTTGAATCAGGTAATTACTGTGCCACCTCAGAGTGCTCAAAAATAGTTCAGTCCTGAATAGTTTATTCAGCCCATCAAATAAGCATTGGCTTTGTTCTGACTTCCTCACATCCTACCCCTCCTTACTTCCTTGAACCCCTATCTCACTGAGATAATCATCTGCTTGTAATCAAAACGGGTTCTCCCCAACCCCAGTACTTGACAAAATACATTAACTGGAAACCAGCTACTAAATTCCTACTGGTGAAAGAGTACTTTCATAGGAAGTCATGCATGTATGGATTTGGTACAAGTCATTTTAAGAACTAATAGAAATAGGAATGTGGGAAGGCCAGGTGGTTCTGTAGAATTTTGAGCAAGGCTTTTCCAAGAAACTCCTCCCTCCGCCCCCATCCTCCATATGGAGAGTTGGTGAGCTGAAGTGGAATGACAGCTGAGTCCTTCTCTCTGCAGGGCTTTAGCCGCCAGTCTTCACTCCTATTCAAGATTCTCTCCAGTGTTCGGAATCATCAGATCAACTCAGATTTGGCTCAACTACTGTTACGACTAGATTATAACAAATACTATACCCAGGCTGGTGGAACTCTGGGCAGGTAGGAGCAACCCTTGGGTAACTCAGTAGACTTTTGTGGGTGACTTTTTAATGAGTTGCAGAATTCTAGAGCTGGAAGAAGACTTTAGCCATCATATAGTCCAAATACGCTCATTTTATATAAACAAGGTTTAGAGATGGAGGTGTGACCATCTTTAATAATTTTAATGAAGATTATTTTCTAGTAGAAGTCATCATCATCATCATAAAATACTAAAAAACCTGACAGTGAGATAGGTGTTAAGTCCTTTGCTAGGTTATGTATTGCTATGCTGGGAGGCAGTGTGCCTTCCATTCCCAATTCTGATATGAACTAGCTGTGCAGCCGTGGGCACCCCGCCTTGCTGGTCCCTAGCTTCCACATCGGTGAAAGGAGGGGACCACGCCTTCTAACTCTAAACTTTAAGTGAGATTCAGTGGTAGCTGGCTTCCCAGAGCTCTGTCATTCCCATTTAGAAAATCACTTTATTGTCCTTTCTCTCTCTAAAATGTCTGCAAGTAGACTTTTTTCTAAGCTATTTTAGCAGAAGAGTCAAAAGAAACTCTTGTTTTAAGACGACATTATTTAGACCACAGGTTGTCCTGATTCATATTTCTTTGAAGGCAGTCTTGGGAAAGCATGATACTTAATAAGGCTCTTTTTCTCTTTTGTAGTTTCGGGATGTGAAAAGTTATGGCTCATAAACTGAAATAACAGCCACGTTCCCAAGTTTGTACCAGAAGATTCAAAACAAACATCCCATTCTAGCCAAACACAAATAAGTATCTGTGGCCTAGTGATAGGACTCTACCTTTTCTCCTGGAAGCAGTTACTGAACATCCAGGAGTACAAATCCTTCCCATCATTCCCATGTGGAAAGGCCTGTCCCATCAAGGAGAACATGTGGCATCTCTGATCCTTTACATTGAGAACATTTGTTGGATATGTTCGTTTATTCAGTAGTCATTTATTGAGCACCTACTGTACATGCCTTGGTACTGTTCAAGCTGTGGGAGATACAGCAGTAAACAAACAATATAGAGCAGAAAGTTAAATATTTTATGGTTCATATGTGAAAAAGTAATTATGTTTATAAATAGGCTAACTGCTGGATGTTACCATCAAGTAAGAAAGCAACAGGTAAGATAGGCTTTCTCTCTCCCTATACCAAGTAGTTTATACCTACACAGATTGGGCAATTCTAGCTAATGAAAATATATTTAAAGTATTTCTTAGGCCAGGCACGGTGGCTCACGCCTGTAATCCCAGCACTTTGGGAGGCCAAGGCGGGTGGATCACCTGAAGTCAGGAGTTCGAGACCAGCCTGACCAATATGATGAAACCCCGACCCTACTAGAAATACAAAAATTAGCCAGGTGTGGCGGCATGTGGCTATAATCTCAGCTACTCAGGGGGCTGAGACAGGAGAATCGCTTGAACCTGGGAGGTTGCAGTGAGCTGAGATTGTGCAGTTGCACTCCAACCTGGGCAACAAGAGCGAAATTCCGTCTTTAAAAAAAAAAAAAAAAGTATTCTCCAATAAAAAGGTCTTTAAGAAAAAACTGAGATCAAGTTGTTAGATTTTTAAATAGTGAAGACTGCAGGCCCAATTACCCATCTTACACAAGCCATAGGGGTTGAAGTTATCTTAATATGGCCCAGCCATCACTGGTAATCAATATTCATATCAGTGTGAGTAAAAATAAATATTCATTGAACAACGCCCTCCAAACTGAAAAAGAATGCAGTGTTCTGGCATCAGTTTATAGTCACTGAATCTGGTCTTCATCACTACATCTACACACACAGGGAAGCTCTGACAACCTTATTCCCTTCTATTATCAAGTAAAGATCACCCTTTCCACTGCTATCTCTAGAGCAGGAGTTGGCAAACTATGGCCTGCTGCCTGTTTTTGTAAATACAGTTTTACTGAAACACAGCCATGCCCATTTGTTTACCCATTGTCTATGGTTGCTTTCATGCCCTCACAGCAAAGGTGAGTAGTTGTGATGGATCAAATGGCCCACAAAGCCTGAAACATTTACTCTTTGGCCCTTTACAGAAAAAAACTTGATCCCTGCTTTAGAGAATGAGAAGCCATGAACGGGGATCAGTGATGCCAGAGGAAGGGAAGGAACAGCTTCCAGCTATTGTGACAATAATAATAATATTGGGTCTTTGACTAGAACTTGTAACATTTCCAAGTGTTCTCACTTGTGCTTCTCATGTGTATCTTCCGGAAGGTCATTCCATCAAGCTTATGGTCACTGTCCCTTCATGGCAGTTGGTCCTTTCGTTCTCCCTTTAGCTCTTAAGTGGGGGAATACCCACAGGTCAGCTGTTAGTGATCTCAGCTCTAAAGAGAGAGAGCATGAGGTCTTTCTTAAACTGCCAGGAAACAGAGCTGTGCCCAATTCCGCTCAACTTTGGGCACAACTGTTAATCTGGGCCTTCACCTACTTTAAACTGAGTTTTTGCAAGCACAGCATTTTAGACACCCTGGAATAACCTTTTGGGAATGATGCCACAGAATAAAGTTCACTCTTAACTTTGCAATTTCCTTGGCTAGCTGTCCTCCTAAAGTGAATAAGCCTATTGAAAACCTCGAGAAAGTACTATGTTTGTCTTGTCATTTGTTCTGAGATTAAGCTCAAAGAAACAGATGAAGAAATCCCAGTTACTACAACCAAAGAGATTCAACATTTATTTTATCATAAAAGTTCAGCAAATAAAACTATATACAAGATCCATGCAAGGAATCCAGTTACACACAAGACACATTTAAAACCTGGTTAAAACACAATCTCCACGATAGCAGGGAATAAAACCAGTAAGACCAAGTATCTTTAGTGAGAAACATAATCGTGTTTATATTTTGGATGCTGCTTGAATCCAATTCTCTCCCCAACAATGAGGCACTGGATCACCCATTCTTGTGACACGACAGGCAGCTGCAATGCTTCAGCACACTTCAGCACCGAGGCTGGGCAAGAGGGGTCTGTCACCACCACATCAAATACCCCTAAAGCAATATCTGCAAGGAGCAAGTGAAAGTGAAGAAGGAAAGTACACTCAATTTAGCCCTCCATTACAAAGAGAGATTTGATTCTAACCAATACATCCCACTCTGCACAAACCAAAGCCCTATTATGTCAAACACACTGCTGATCATGACCAAAAGTAGAGGTATAATCACTATGTGCTGACCTTGTGGAAATATTTAACAAATATATGCCCAGTGCTTCATTTATGTTGACTCACCTCTTGAAGGTGGTACTTTTCTTCTCTAAGAAACATGGATACGGTCAACCTATTAGGCCTGAGCCTTGGACCACAAGGCCTGACACCTAGAGGTCTAAGGAGATCTCTCGAACAAAGATACACACACACACACACACACAGGTACCTTTGTTATGGGCACTTGAATGGTCTAAGGAGATCTCTCGAACAAAGATACACACACACACACACACACACTCAGGTACCTTTGTTATGGGCACTTGAATGGTGCTGCTTCACAGAGGCTGCCCCTCCAGTCATGAGGATCTCAGACCAGAGCTCCAGGAAGTTCTGCTGTTGGTCTGATACCAAGAGTACCTTCAGATTCTGGAAAGGATTTTCACGGGGTTGCCTAGGAAGGAGACAGAGAGATAGCCCTATGTAACTGGAAAGGACCTTAGCATGACAAGTAATATCCAACAAACCGCCTTTCTGCAAAGGGACTCATGTACATCTGAATGCTTTCAAAACTAAGTGCCCCATCAGGCATAGTGTTTCAAGCCTGTAATCCCAGCACTTTGGGAAGCTGTGGTGGTTGGATCTCTTGGGCCCGGGAGTTCGAGACCAGCCTAGGCAATATGGCGACACCCCATCTCTACAAAAAATAACAAATTAGCTGGGTATGGTGGCGAGTGCCTGTAGTCCCAGCAGCTTGGGAGGCTGAGGTAGGATCCCAGCAGCTTGGAAGGCTGAGGTAGGATCACTTCAGCCTGGGAGGTTGAGCCTGCAGTAAGTCATCATTGTGCCACTGTACCCTAGCCTAGGTGACAGAGCAAGACTTCATCTCAAAAAGCTAAGCCCTATATTAGGGTCCCCCTTCTCTTCCTTCTTTCTGTGAATGACCTGTATTCCTTGCAATCCTGGCTTTCTGATTTCCATGTTTGTTCTGGGGCTGAGAATAATCTGAATCATGCTCCTGAGCCTATATATTTTTAATGTTCACTTAAAACTTAGTTCTCTAACTTTACAGGTTGAGAATATTGACCCTATATACAAATCTTCACACATTTTCAAAAGGTTCCTAGCCAATGTAACCTATGGAAATAAACTAAACTCCTGAAGGCAATTCAAACCTACTCAAATTTATCCTACAGACATTCCAATTTCTAGAAAGCTTTACTCTCTCACCTAGATTCTCTTCCCTCCAAAGCTTGCTGTCTTCCTGTCTATACAATTCTGGATGGGCTTTCAAATACTTACCAGTCCAGAATTCTTTGCTCCTCAAGGCTATACCCAGCTGGCAACAGATAATTACGGTAGTTCTGGAGCTGGTTGGCATGGCAACTATCATGGACCCAGACATGAGACACACAAGGAATCCCACTGGCAAGGCACAGGAAGTACTTCCGGGTTCGACAATGCTGATCCGCAATTAGAAGACACTGGTAAGCTGTGTTACACTGGAAGACAAGAAGCAGAGCCAATGGGTTTGGTGACTTCTGTGGAAAGCTCCTAAGCAGCAGCCATAGTGAGCCATGAAGAGCAGATCTGAAGACTCCCAACTACTACCCAACGTGTGATTTAGTCTATCCGTCTGCCCAAGGCCACTCTTTTCACTGAAAGGCCCAAACGATTTCCACAGATGTTCTCTCTGCCTCACCTGCAGCATTCTGAGGACCTAAATCCTCAAGGGACAAACAAGACCTATGAACTCAGCCTTTCAGGCTAAGAATCAGCAACCCTAATAGGGGTTTCTACTACTAAACATAAATATCAATCTTCTTTTGTCCCAGCAACAGAACCAGAGCCATTAACTAACCCAAGGTCCTAATTTCTCTTCCCTATACACAACAAAAATTATATTTCATGCAACGACATTTTGGCAGTTTCTCAGTTCCTGAAATCTCTGGCTACTTTATCCAGGTTCCCCAACCCCTCTCAGGCCTCTTCTCACACAGCAAGTTGGCTCTTCTCATTGCCACTATATTAGGTTACACAAAGAAACTCCTCACCTGGGCTTCATTGAAATCTTCAAGGATATAGCCAGCCCCTGCTCGAAGCTGGGATTCTGTATACTGCTTGTTGAAAGGAGGAATTTCTAAAAATTCTACATTAAAAAAAATAAGATAATAATTACTGAGTGGTTTTCTTACTTGCTACCTTATACCTGCTTCTTACTGCCCCCTTTTCACTCCCCAGCTATCTATCCACAGCAGTGTGTCCCCAAAGACAGGCCAAGGGCTTCCCCATGGGTCAGAAAGAGATCTGTCTTGAGGCCTTTAAAATGTTGCCAAAAGAAGGGACAAGAGCAGGAGGAATTGGGAAGATGAGGACTGGAGGTAGGTCCTAGACCTAAAAACATCCAAGATTCCTGCACCGGACTGTTCACAGGGATGGGCGCACAACCATTTCCCACAGTGACATATTCCAACTTGAATAACCCTTACCATCAGGAAGTTCCCTTTGTGTCTATCCTAAATCTTTCCTGTTGAAAACTAAACCCCATTTCCTCTAGTTCTACCTTCTGTGGAGATGAATAGCTGATGAATACTTTATAATAAACCCTTCATATTCCCACTGCATCAGCCTTTTTACCCCGTTGTACACTAAAACTTTGATAAACCAGAATGGTCAATGAAATACGGTTTTAAAATTTTAACGGATTAAGTGAAGGTTAGAAAATCCTGTTTCAACCTTTTTATTGAAAACTATCTACCTTTGATGATCTTGAAGTACCTCAGGACACTGAACACCAATGACTGCTCTATAGTCTTGAGGGTGAAGTAGAAGATATGAGAGATGAGGCTGAAGCTGTAATGACCCTAGGCAATTAGAAATTGCTTCTTTTGACCAAATATCTAATTTGAGCTTGTTTTCTTGTCATCTGCTCCTCTCATATATAAATAACACATTAAAAAAAAAAGAAAAGAAAAGCAAGACATTAGAGATTTTAGTTAATTAGGAGTTTTGGGAAATTAAGTTCTAATTAACTGAAATTTTTATCACAAATTTTAAAACCCAACCCAATCCAATGCGTAAGGTTCAATGCCAGTACCACTCCCCTTCCCCTTCACACCCAGTGGTAAAACCTACAGCAGATCCCTTGTGGAGACGGCTCCCCCTTCAGTGCCCTCGCTGCCTGCTGGAGTAGCCCAGGCAGTGCTGAGGCCCCATCTCAGGGGTCTCCATCTCCACTTAGTTCTGACTAGCCAACCTATTCACTTTTATTCTCTTTTCTTGATTCAGCATTCTCCACATTCTTCTCAAACAGAAATCCCAAAACAGAAACTCTACATGGTTTTAAGAAACTCAGAATATAGCAGAGCTGTTTCTCAGTTTTGTCTCGATATAGCACGTCACAATCTTCGCACCAAGATTCTACTGCTGAGTCACTGCCGGCACCCCGCACAGTCCTGCATTTTTCTCAAGACTTCTACTTTATGTCTGCTTAATCCAGGACGGGTCTATGTAGATGTTAATCCTTAATTATATTTCCTTGCATTTGTCTAATGAAGTATTACCCTGTCTAGGCAGTGTGTTTCTCTAATTTTTCTCGAGTAGTCTGGGTTCCAATTTCTTCATTTTTGAGGTATGAGTGCCCTGCCCAGCCAGATGCTAAAATGAATAGATTGTTAATCCTGCCATCTAAATCAAGTATGAAGGTACTAAATAAACCCAACTCCAGGGTCAATCCCTGTGTCTGAAGGATCTCTGATGGTGTGCCACCCAACGAGATTAGGTACCAAACTCATTAATAAATACATCTCCTAAGATGGATTCAAATATTTTACTGAGCTTCTGTTATAAGCTGGTGTCTAAGAATTCCCATTTATCTGTAACACCTACCAAACAGTTTCTTAAAAACTATAATTCTGCAGAGGATTGTTTTAGTATTAGATGTCTTCCTCCTTCTTGAGATTGAGAAACCCCTAAGCATTCTCATACACTGAAAATATCAAGGATTCTGGTACTGTTGGGCGCCAACATAAAGACACATTCACCATAACCACACTTCTATCAGAAACCTGGAGATCCCTTCAAAAACACTGTCCAAATGCTTCATTTTATTTTTATGAGTAGAGTTTATTACATCTCACATAGGCACACACATTTTAATGAAACTGGACAGCCTGCATCTCATACCAGTCAGCTTTCTTGACTATGCTGAACCAAGCAACAGACAAAACATCTATAGAGCTGCCTTGTGAAGTCCTGGTTTCGAGTCCAGCAATATTGTATAAGGGGGAAAAAAAAAAAAACCATGACCATGACCACTGTTTTAATGCCATGACATGCCTCTATGCAGAATCCTCAAAAGACTCCTAATTAGTCC